AAAAACTTTGAATTTACATACCATAAAACTCATCTGTTTTATGTGTATAACTGAATGATTTTTAGTGAATTTTCAGCATTGTGAGACCATGACCAGGTTTGGTCTTTATAATTAGAGTTTCTGAGGTTTAAGAAAGTTTCCATGATAACCATTAGTAGTCTCAGGAATGCATAAAAATAATGGCAATTAATACTGAAATTCGAAAACGAAAAAAGAACAACAAAACACTAAAATCCAAGCAGTATAGCATTTTGTTTTTCCAAAATTACGGAGCCCGGATGCCAGAACATTTTTAGGCTATAGATCAGGAAACGGCGAATCACAGGATTTACGAGATCTCGTAAGATAGAGCATCCTTCCCTGTGCTTCTTGCTCGGGCCTCAGGACTTCTGCCTTACAGATCCCCTAATCAGCTAACCTAGCCTCTTTCTCGAGAAAACTCGGCTGAGGGCCCCTCCCGGAGAACTTCCGGAAAGGGGCGGTGTCTGCCTTCCGAAACCTCTCGGACAGAGGCGGAGTATCCTGCCGAGAGCCATTCGGGAGAAGGAGGAGCCTGCCTCGCATCAGGACCAGTCTGACTGCACCTGCATCCTTAGCTCAGCGCATCCCTGGAGCATCTTAACAAGCGAGCGCAGTGGGCAACCAGGGACCGGACCGTCGCAGAAGGCGTCCGCCGGAAACCTTCCCCCTCCCCTGAACTAGAGCTCTACAGCGGCGGCCTCTGTACTGACCGAGGGTTCCCAGAGTTGTCTGACCATAGCAAAAACATTTATAGCAACAGCCTCTGATTACGACATGGCTGAGATCACCAATATCCGACCTAGCTTTGGTAAGTAGAGTCGGGCAAACTAAGCTTAAGGTGGTCGAAACCGTTGCAAGCCAAGGGGGCCCAGCGGCTGGGCAGAGAATGAAGCCCAAACTACACAACCTTCAAAGTGCTAGCCCTGCTACAAATTAGGCCTGTGGTGGTGGGTAACTGGCAGTGCATAGCGCCTGAACTTGAGTAATGGGTCGCAGAGACTGGCAAGGCCAGAGCCACACGGAGGGTGGGGTTAGTTCAGAATGCTAAAACCTTGCATGGTGCACTGTCAGCACTGCTGGAGGTGAGAAACAGCAAGCGCGCGTAGGATGGGAACCCCTCCTTCTGGCGGAGGGGGTGGGGTAGGCCGAGCCCTCCCCCTTGGGGCACGCAGGGCGGTGCCCCTTCCTCCACTCCCACTCCTAAGGGCTGCGGGGGAGGGAGGTGACGGGGGATGGGGCATCAAGATGGCAGCTTGGAGACTGTGGGTTGTGTGGCTGGCAGCCAGGGAAGGCGGCAGCCTCTGGGGAAAGAGGGTTGTGGGGGTGGGGAGCAAAAAGGAAGCCACTCCTTAAGACGGTCAGCTGGATGCTGGGGCTGGGAGGAAACGTGAGCCCTGCAGTCTCCATTCTGCATCGTAATGGTAGGATCTATCCGATGCTACCAAATGGCGCTTGGCGCTGCTGGGCTGGGGGATGACGTGATGTCTATTCTGGGCCTCCTGGCAGCGACTAGGCTCTCCTGCCGGGTCCTTTGTTCACAGTTTCCCTGGGCTAGCTTTCCAAAAAGGGGAACTCACCCGCTCTGGTGCTGGCGGGGGTGTGATCCAGGCCTGAGGGGGAGAGGCGAGAGAGGCCCACCCGGGGGAGGCCGCTTTGTGTACCAGAGAAAGCATTACGTCATCTCGGAGCGGCTGGTCCCCGCCCCAACCCTATGAGCTCCAAGATTAGTTTCACACTCCCTGAGGCAGAAAGTGAAGTGGAAAATAGAGAAAATTGTAAAGAAAAGCTTGAGAAGCAAGTTTTTCCTCTTTGGGGAGTCCTCCGAAATGTAGCGGAGCAAACTTCTATGCTATGTTTCCTGGTAACATAAATAAGTAAATAAAATAGAGTTGCCCTGCTTCTCTCTCTATTGTACTGCAGTTTACATGGGAGAAGCCAGTGAGAGTTGCTGCCAGCCTAGAACCTTTAATTCCTTAAGTGATTCTATCCCTCAGACAATCCAGAAGGTTAGAGCATCTAGACATTACTATTTTGAGTGGGAACACATTCCAGTTAGGAAACGGCTTTTCTCTTTTTCAAATAAAAAAATATATTGAAATGAGCAGAATCCAGTGTGCTCCATCCCCTCAATATAAGGAAGAAGTCATCAAATCAAGGAAAGCATTCAGATAACATATCTTCACACACATTAACTACTGTTCCCACAGGTTCCCCAAGGCTAAATCATGATTGTATTTCTTTCTTCCACTTCACCTTCTGCATTTCAATCCTCTGAGTTCTAAGTTTCAAAACAAATCCCTTCTGTGACCACAGGAATAACCCAAGATTTCTTCCTACTCTTTTTCTTCTTATGGTTTCCAGCAGATTCCTTTCTCTGGTTGCAGTTCCAGAGTCCTTGAAAGAGTAGATAGTGAGGAGCATAATACAGTGTCATGATTTCCTTTACAGGGACTATTTTATAAAATGGAAAAAAAAAACATGCCAACCTTTTATATGCTACATTTTATTTAACTCTAACAAATACCTTCTCATGTAGGTATTATATGCAAGGTGTCCATAAAGTTCACATGCAGTTTAAAATGGACAACTGCTTTAAATTGTGCACAAACTTTATGAACACCCTGTATTTATATGTATGTGTGTGTGTATGTGTGTGTGTGTGTGTGCTTTGAGCCTCAAGAAACTGAGACTCAAAGAAATGAAATAACTTGGCAAAAGTCAAACCAGCTAGTGAGGGTAGTGCTGGGATTTGAACCAATGACTGTCTGATGCCAAAGTTCACTCTCATCCCACTGTACTACAGAGACCTGACAGCAAAAGGTCTATGTTTAGGAAAAGAAGTGAAAATAGGCAGTTCAGGTCAGAGGCTGAGGAGTTAAGCATAGCCCAGATGTTTTTGTTTTTGTTTTGAGACAGAGTCTTAAGCTGTTGCCCTAGGTAGAGTGCCCTGGTGTCATAGCTTAGAGCAATCTTGGGGTCAAGCGATCCTCCTACCTCAGTTTTTCTATTTTTAGTAGAGACAGGGTCTCACTCTTGCTCAGGCTGGTCTTGAAACTGTGAGTTCAAGCAATCCACCTGCCTCGGCTTCCCAGTGTGGTAGGATTACAGGCCTGAGACACCTCACCAGGCCCAGCCCAGATGTATTTTTCAGGTCTCTAGAACATTACAGGGGGTCTCCTACATAGAGAATGATGGTACCTGACTTTTTCACATCTCACTGAGAGAGAGGCTTCATTTCAAAGGCTGTAGCACTTGGGAGATACAAGTCAACACTCAATTATCCTGTCTGTAGAGGACAAAAGGAACAAGAAGCACAGGTCACTGCAATTTACAGCTACTTTAAAACACTCGGTTCAGCGTTAGTTCCAACTTCCTTTTTCCATCAGATTTTTGACTAAAGCAAAACAGAGAGCTCTGAGTTCCAACATCTCTGATTGTTCTAGTTCACTATCTTGGGTGTCTGAGAAAGAGGCAAGAGTTAAGGAATACTGAAATGAAGAAGAGCAAAAGTGGGGAACAAGGTGGGGGAAAACACCTAGATAATCTTCAAATGGGTTCATCCGTTTCTATTCTTT